CGCCCGTCTCCGGTATGCCATCAATCTCGCCATCTCTGATGCCCTCCTCCATCATTCCCTCAGTGGCCCCGTCTGTCGTCTCATCGGCACCGGTCTATTCCGTCCCGTCGGCACCACCATCGGCAGAGCCCTCATCCATCCCCTACTCCACGCTTTCCTCAGCCTCGCCATCCACGTCCAGATCAGAGCCTGCATCCCCCTCCACCGCAGCGCCAACCTCGCTGCCGGTCTCCGTCTCGGGTTCGCAGTCCACATTCTCGACCAAGACTCTACCCGGCTCGCTCTCTGTCCCGCCCCCTCCGCCCTACAACCCACCAAGCTCGACGCGAGGCGCCGGCAGCACGGCCGAGGAGACCGAGACGGGCATCGTCTCGGCGCTCCCGACAGCGGTCGACACGACCACAACGACGGCGACGCCCGCCGCGTCGACCAAGCCCGTCGTCGTGCACGGCACCTTGACGTTGCCGCCGGGCCTGTACACGACGCCCGTGGCCGGCGGGGTGTGCAGGATCGTCACCAAGTCGTGGATCGAAGGCGAGACGACCTTCTTGGGCGAGCCGCAGCCCACGGCGGCGTGCTGCGGTAGGAGCTGAGCCGCTCGAACGAACATAATTGTGTCAGTATGTAGGCTGACATATGGGTTGGGGTGATGGTGTCTGACGGATGCATGTTCCATTTTTCTGCTTTTGTTTAAGGGGGGGCGCACGCTAGATATCATTTGATTTTGACTGAATTGAAAAACCTTGACTCCAAACCGCTGAATGACATGCCACTCTGATGTTGTATGCTTGACGCTGATATCTGGAGCCTCGACATGTACGTAAGTCCAGTGCCACAGCCACTCGTAAATCCCCTGCCCATGATCCATGTCGCTGATTCCTGATTCCCGTCGATCATCTGTCTCCTACTCACTGAGAACTTGCTGCAGCATTTTCGTCAAGGTAAGGGAACCGCAAGCCTATCAGAGCACCACGCAGACAAAACGTGGATTGGCTCAACCTCGGCCGCGTCAGCAAAAGTAGAACGACGAGAGCAGGATTTGAACCTGCGCCACCGAAGTGAATAGATTTCTAGTCTATCGCATTAGACCACTCTGCCATCTCGCCAGATGCTGTGTCATCGGAGGCGAATCTGCGGGATTATGTCGAAACCGACTCCACCCCTAGCCCGACGCTGACCGCGCGCTTGGGACAACATCGTGCGGAGTGGGTCACGGAGATCGTGACGATCGAGGCGCGGGAGGAAACTGAACGTTGAGGAGATTCTGGCCCAATAATGACAGGATAGATTGGCTTGCATGAGCGAGCTGTCAACATGAGCAATGCGCCTCACCCGACTTTTGTCGTTGCACCCCATTATCGGGAAGCCTCGACAGCACGTCAACTTGAATGGATATCTATTATGGTCTGTTCGTAATGTACAACTAGCTCCGCCATGCTTCGGATCACCTGGGCGCTGTCCAGCGCAGATCCGTCTGCTTCCTCCGGACCTGTAAATTGTTAGCGAGTGCTTTCGATACGCAAGGGACGCCACCAGCCCGGGCGAAAACGAGGAGGAGAAAGACGTACAATAGGCTTCAACGCAGCCACGCCAGCCACGAGGGCGAGCACGGTGCCGATGAGGGTCACCTTGTCGAAGCCCTTGCCGAGAATGTCAAACGACAGGCTCGGCGCGAGGCGGGTGCCGAAGATGTCAATACCGTAGGCAAACACGAGAGTCGTGCTCTCGAGCAGGGCCGGGGTCGCGATGATGTCCTTGACGCCGATGACGTCGCGCTGGTGGGTGATGACCTGGCGGGGATCGACCTCGATGACAGGTGTGTACCGGATGAGGCCCTCGGCCTCGACCTCCTGGGCCGTGGGATCGCGACCGACAGTGCGGCGAGGCTCGAGGACCTGGCGGGGCAGGCCAGCGATGCCGTGCGTCTCGGGCTGGTAGCCGAGGAGCTGCCTGTTGGTGATGCCCTGACGCGTCTGTGTGACGGCAAGAGCCACGATGGGCGCGGACAGGACCCATGCCTGCGACACGAGGAAGGGAAGGGGGGCTCCCGTGGGCTCGTCGACCGTCTCAATAGAGGAGAAGTTGGCAGCGGAGCCCAGAGGGCCGCGGTCGTTGGACTCGTCGCTCTCGTACAGGTCCGTGACGACGATCTGGTATCCCTTGAGCGACTGCCCGGAAAGCGCATGGCCCTGGGCGTCCTTGAGTGCGTACTGTCCGAAGAAGGTACAGGCGTACCAGTTCTCTGCAACGGCGCAGTCAATGGTCTTGGACGCGTCGACGCCCTCGTACGTCTTGGAGGACAGGATCTGGCCAGAGACGGTGTCCAAGAGGTAGATGGTCAGGGTGGACGTTGCCGCGCTCGTGGCCGCAACGACGGCCGTGTTGGGGTTTAGGTACTTGTACTTGACCTTGCGATCACCAAGAACCCTTCCGATCTGAGCGACAGGATCGTGCGAGGCACGCGTGGCCACCTCGACAATGGTCTGTCCGCCGAGTGGCAGGAAGGTCCAGGAAACAACCTCCTTGGCAGAGCCCTCGACGCCTGACCAGGTCAGGCCCTTGAGCCCGCCGTCGGCGCTGCGGACAACGACCGTCTGCTTGGGCGTCCACTCGGCAGGGACGTCGCCAACCTGACCATCGACACCAATGGGAAGAAGCCATTGGCCGGAAGCGCTGTCGACAATGGCAGTGGCCTCCACCTTGGGCCAGGCGCCCTCGGGCAGCACCTCGATAATCTCGCCTGTGGTGGTCTTGGCCACGACCTGCTCGCCGTTGGATCCACGAATGGTGACGAGGCCCCTGTGGTCCTCGACAAACATACCTTTCACATCCCAGGTCTGGCCCGAAGGGATGGCAAATGCGGCGGAGGACCACGCAACCTTTCCGTGGTTGCCAATGTCGAGGCCGTAAACCCTGCCACGACGAGTGGCCAAGATTGCGAGCTTGTTGAAGCCAAAGCTGTCCCGGTGAAGGCCGTCCTTCTTGACAGGCGCGTCAGAGCCCGTGATGCTGCTGATGAGTCGCTGGGGAATAGAGGCAAGCCAGTCCGGCAGCTGCTCGAGGTCCTTGAGGTGACGCTGGACGCGGTGGACATAGGCGGACACGACGTTGCTATGGGCCTCCTCCTCGAGCACCTTGGCGTACTGGGCATTCTCGGGGAACTCAGCGAAAGCAGCGGCAACGGCGCCCGTCAGACCTTCAGGGCGGCTCCAAGCCAGATCGCCGTTGCGGACAAGCACCCAGTCGTCCGAGCGGGTGAGAGCGGCGGCTCGAACAGCGTACGAGTCGTCGGGCTTCCTGATGACCTCGGACACGCCGTGGATCACCTGCGAGCTCTCCGTGTTGGGCTTGTACGGCCAGCGTCCGAGGATGGCATGCGACTCGGAGGAGGTGAGGATGACCTCGTCGTCGGTGATGCGGGTGAACAAGACATTGGCACCCTGGGAGCTGGTCGAGAAGGCACCGACGCCAGGCAGCAGAGGAAGCTCGTAAGCCTTGGTGACGGCGCTGGTCTTGAGGTCAATGTGGTAGACGTCGGCCTTGTTGGCGGTGGGCGTGCGGCTGTGCACGAGGAAGTGAGGCTCCGACTGCAAGTGGTGAGGCGCATGAATGACGACCTCGGTGGTGTCAGCAGGCAGGGGGAACTCGTGCTTCTTCTTGGTGCCGAGGACGTTGACGTAGAGCTTGGAGCGACCCTTGTCGGCCCAGGCAACAATGGGAGAGGCCGAGTTGGCGCCGACGAACATGATGTCGTCCTTGCTGTCGACATCACCCTTGGTGCCGAGAAGAATCTCGTTGACGCGCTTGCCGGTGTGGATGTCGAGGACGGAGACCCTCAGGCCGTACGAGGTCAGGGTGCCGTAGAGGCTGACGACGAAGATCTTCTCAATGTTGGTCGAGACCTGGATAGGGACGTCGTTGACGGCATCGCTGATCTCCCAGACGACAGCGCCGGTCTGGCCATTGAGCCTCCTCAGGGTCGTCGCGCCGTTGTCCTCCTCGAACAGCGCCAGCACGTCTTTGCGGTCGTTTTCGGTCAGCTCCATGACCTCGAGGTCCTTGACTTCGCCAGTGAAATCCAGCCACCAGGCGCTGCGTCCGGATAGGGCGTTCCACGCCTGGACCGAGTGACCATAGGCAGTCGCGATCCAGTTCTCTCCCTCGGCGGCGCGCAGGTGGCCTCCCCCGTTGGTGATGTTTCCCGTCAGGGACTGTCTCCAGACAACCCCGCCATTGCTGGGGTTGACGGCGCCGACGACGCCGACGTCGCTCAGGGTGTAGAGGAGGCTCGCCTTGTCGTCTCTCCTGGGGCGGTGGAAGAGAGTCGTCTCGATCTGCGGCAGGCCGATGAGTTCGTGGTGGTAGTCAACGTCGCCGACCTCATCCTGGTAGATGGCTTGGACGGCCGAAGTGGCAGCGACCAGCAGTAACGCCGGCGAGCGCCAGAGCGAGGGCCGCATTGTGAGAACTTGCCAGAAGCTTCCCAGGTATCTTTCGTTCGACTCGGGTAGATTTCGCGAGACGACGAGGGCTGAGCTGGGTGGTGCCTCGAAGCTTGTCGGAGTGGATGGGTGTTGGGAGGTAGGTGGTCGAAGGATGTGGAGGTGGAGCTACGTAAGATGCCCCGGTCCCGCCTTGGATTTGGGGAAGCACGAATTCTGGCAGCTCCTCATGGCATATGTCACGTGCAGCTCTGCATTCACCATCACCTTTTGATCATGTCTCCAGGTGAACGAACAACGAAGCCCAACGTGTGGTCAAACACACTTGGAGCACCATATTCATATCAATAGAACTTCAAGGACGCGCATAATATTACGTTGGCAACGGATCTCGAGTCCACAGAGTGGTCTTGTGTCGTGTACTTATGCATTCACTGGCGACGAATGAGCGGGCATTGAATTGGCATTGCGAACCACCCAGAGTATTGGCAGACGTTGGTACAAGACAAAAATCCAAACAAACATGAGCTACAAACTGCGAGTCTGTTGCTAGGAAGCATGGCCTTGGAAGACGATTTCGCTTCCCGTGAGTTGGGTGCTCCAGTACACCTTATCCTGTTAGCAAGGCAGTCAGTACTTCGAACCATAACGCGCCAAATGTAGTCCTTCACGTGACCAGGTGCCTAGCAAGTCGCCAATGGAACGCCGACTCTACGGTACAGCATTCACGCCAGCCACGACCCTCGTCCCATCAGCCTCGCCATTCATTGACTTTCATCCTCCAACCTCAACACCATACCAGACATCTCCGACCACCCTAGGTCTCCCACAATTCCTGCTCCCTCAGCACCACCCTCCGGGGACTACTTCAAAAATGGTCAGCTGCCCCAGGCATCCCCCCCCCACGTCTGCGCGCCAATGCGGCAGGCAATGCTAACGAGAAATGAGTGCAGGCGCGCAACTCAGAAAAAGCCCAGTCGATGCTCTTCCGCTTCCGCGAGGCCCAGGCCGCGGACCTCGGCATCATCGACGTCGGGCGCACGCGGCGGCCCAAGATGATCACAGAGGTGACGGCGATCCCGACGTGCGAGAAGTGGCGCGGCCAGGTGCTCAAGGAGATCTCGCGCAAGGTGTCGCGCATCCACGAGACGAGCCTCAGCGACTACCAGGTGCGCGACCTCAACGACGAGATCAACAAGCTCATGCGCGAGAAGTACATGTGGGAGGTGCAGATCCGCAACCTCGGCGGGCCCAACTACATGCGCGGCGGCGCCAAGATGTACGACGAGGCCGGCCGCGAGATCCCCGGCGGCGGCAAGGGGTACCGCTACTTCGGCCGCGCCAAGGAGCTGCCGGGCGTCAAGGAGCTGTTCGAGGCCGCGCGGTCGCTGGGGAACGAGGACAAGGCCGCCAAGGGCCGCGAGCAGAGGCCGCGTGTCTACGTCGACGCCGCCTACTACGGCTACGCGCCCGAGGAGGAGGACGACGAGCTGCTGCAGTACGAGGCCCAGAAGGAGGCCGAGGCGACCGAACACATGGCCAACACGGGCAAGCAGGAGGCGCCGCCAGGCTGGGAGCCGCTGCCTGGTGATTCGGGGGACGGCCAGGTTTGGGTGCTGCCAACGTTAGAGGAGGTGCAGGAGGAGCTGATAGACCGGAGGAGGAAACGACTGCTCGATCAACTATGAGGCGGAAGATCGGTTTTTGCACCACGGGAGCATCCCTACCTACACGAAAAAGCATCACGACAGGAGTTGCTATGGGGTTCAGTGCAGCGGCCACCGCGGCGTGCTGGTGAAAGGTAGTCGGTCGGAGTGCCTGACGTACGCCAGAGGAAAAGTCAGAGAACGGCCGATCGCCTAGGCCTCGATCAGTGTGCCCATGAAACGGCACCGTGTCTTCACGACCGCCTCTGAAGCCTCGCTCGGAGACAGAAAAAAGCCGGGGCGATCAGGCTGCACGCTGCACCATAGGCATGATATGCCCTTGCCGAACACGCCTATTCTCAATCAGCTGCAGTGGCCGAGAGATGGAGAGCGAGCCGAGCAAGAAGGCCTTCCTTGGGTTGAAAGGAGAGAGGTCCGCACAACACATCACATAGCTCCGAACTCTCCAATCCAAAACGAGATGTTAGTCCTACACATACCATAATTCGAAGACCGTCAATGACAAGAGACATTTTTTACTCAAGTTGGCTATCATGTACACGCTATAGTAACAAATCAAATTTACCCCCCCC